CTTTATCAGCAGATGTTGATAAAACATTTTGGTTTGGCTGGATGATGTGAAATTTAGTTGGGCTGTGTAAGACTCAGCAGCTCTGTAGGACATTTCTGAATCCATCAGTTACCTCACAGGGTCTTTGAGAGTTCCTGTGAGCCTGATCACAGACTCCGACAGAGTCAGACCCCTGAGAGCAGAGCATGGACATTAGGTCATATCGCTGAGCTAACCCAAGGCTAAGCTCCAGTCTGGACCTGTTTACCGACAGATAAGGCATAAACAGGAAGATTTATGCAGGGCTAAGCCTGCTGAAATGTTCCAGACGGGTTCTTGTGAGAGTGAGAATAGCAGGACTGAGACACTCAAGACACTGAGGGAAACGTCATTCTTCTCAAACTAGAAACTGCTCCAATACAGACACTTTTCAGTAGACAGATAATCTATTTATGACTTTTTTTGTTGGATAGATACAGTGTAAAGCTGAGCACTGTCACTCAACGGGTCAGATTCAATACTAGTTGTTCTTGCTTATATTAACAGAAAAGGTTCTCATGCTAAAATTTCTTTCAAAACAGGTGCGTACATGCATAAATTGATTATTACCCTTTAATTTTGATGTGTTTGATTTTGATTTCTAAATAAGGGATTGTGTTATCACCCATTTAAGGACTTTCTGCATAATCACTCCTGAGAACATGTAATGTATTATTTTTTTAAATATTTAAATTAATAAATGTGTATGCTTTTTATACAAAAATACAACATTTTATTTTGATTATTATTTATATAAATTAATATTTTATTTAATAATTTTATTATTTAAATTAAAGTTACCTTTGTAATGCTCTGATGAAAAAGTCTTATATATAACCATAATCTAACAGACTGAATTCTGTTTCAGAATTCTGTTTTTTTCTTATTTACCCTGGATCCTGTTTCATAAAGATACAGAAATAATAACTGACTTTTGGGATTGTGATGAGGGTTTACAGCCTGAGGTAACTGCCTCCCTCTGAGAGATTCTGCTGTTAACACACACCACTAATTATGCTCAATAAAGGTGAGCTGCAGGTTTCAGCACACGCTTACCTCACTTTACTGACACTTACCACATCACTCACGAGACACACTGTTGAAAATAACCCCACCTTTTAATTGCTTTGTGTTTTTTTTTTCTATGCAGAAGTCTATGTAAATAAACTCACAGTTACCCGTGTTTTACCTCTCGCTCTGGAGTCATTATTAGTACAGATATTTTTTTAATGTACATTGTGCGTCCTTCTCAGGTACAGTATTTAAACTAATCAACCCCCAAATTAAAGCTTTGATCGCAATCATATAACTTGTACTTTTGATTTCCGTACTAAGAGTTAGACTTGTGTTGTATTAAATGCCATAATCTTTTAAAAACATGTCTGTCCATCTGTATGCTGGCATTGAGTTTGATGGGTTTGGAAGGGATGAAGATGGTTTTGGGTTGGCTGGAGCTAATTTAGTTTGAGGCTTTTCCTTCTAATTCCTCAAGACTAATTACAGCCCTATTCCTGCAATTAAATCGATAAACTCCTCTGTGTTCAGTTGGGCTTGCCAGCAGAAACCCCAACTCCTCTCCTCTCCTCTCGTGATATCTTTAAAGGAATTTTCCAAGTAAACTCAATTGACAGCACTTGTACAGTAGCTGTCTATTGTCTATTTTCTATACAGCACTTGTTTATCGCAAAAATGAAATTCCAATTATCCCATTGTGAAAAAAAGGCAAACATAGTATAGCCACAGAATGTAAACATGATTTAGTGTGGAAAAAAAAAAGCTTATTCTTTTCTGTGTAAAGTTACACTACCTACACTACCTGTGTAAAGTTACACTAAAGTGTAGGGTCAATAAATTTTTTTTTAAAGAAATTAATAATTTTATCAAGAATGCATAATTTAATCATTTATCAAAAGACATTAATAATTTTGCAAAAGATTTCTATTTAAAATAAATGCTGTTCTTTGAACTTTCTATTAATCAAAAAATCTTGAAAAATCCACGGTTTCCACAAACAAACAAAAAAATTAAGCAGCACAACTTGTTTTCAGTGGTGGAAATAATAAATGTTTCTTGAGAACCAAATCAGCATGAAAATTCAACTTTGCCATCACATTAATAAATTACATTTTAAAATATATTAATTTTATTTAAAAAATGTATTTATAAAATGTTTTTTTATATATATATTACAAATGCTATTGATCGAACTTAGCATGTTAAACCATAAATATTCCTTTAAAAGGAAAACTGCACAGTTCTACACACTGTACAGTACAGAGGAACCCTAAAAATAATCTTCAACCGAGTCCTGAATTCTTCGACGGCCTCCATGCCTTTCTCATGCTTTTTTTCTTTTTGAAATTTATCACTGCTGGCAAGGATGGGGTGTTTGCTTGGGGAGCCGTCCAGAGGTCGAGCAGATGTTCCTCCTGGTACTGGGTCGTGCACCGGGACAGATCTCAGCTCCTTCAGCATGTCATATACCTCTCTTTATCTCTCCCTCTCCCTTCCTACACCTCTTCTGTCTGTCACCGCACAACAGTACGCAGGACCCTGGCTGTATTTCAGATTGGCTGTCTGGCTCTCTGCGCAGCTCGTATGGGGTCCATCAAAGCTGTGGTGTGATATAATGGTTTAATTGGGTTTGCCAGCACGGGGCCGGCTGAAAGCAGAAAGAACACCTTTGGGAGAATGAGAGAGAGAGAGAGAGAGAAATGAGTGGAAAAAAACCTCACAAGCATGGAAATGTAATGAGTCTGGGTTGTCTAGACCGTGTGCTTGGCTGTGTGGAGCTGTACGGCGAGTTTTTCAACATATGCGAATGTTTATCTCTCTGAAATGGAGCATGTGGACCCAAGGTCCATTTGGAGCCAAAAGGGAGGACTTTCGGAGCAAAGCCCACCCTAGTCAAGCAAGTCGACATGCAGAGAAACTCACAACGCAATGCTTCATACGTTTACAAGAGCATACACACAACTATTAAATAAAACTTAAACACACACATTTTCTTATCGCTCATATTTACTCTTTCTTACCTACCTCTTACCTCTTTGCCTGCTTTGATCTTTTGCTCACATTTAAGCTTGCTAATTGCTATAATTTGCATCTCATTCTTTAAACATACTATTTGAAGGAAATCAAAAACATAACACATAGTTAGAGTATCCTGGATGAAAGATTAGCTGGCAGAAGTACACAGCAGTGCTTATGCTGACAAGACTCCTCAGTCGTGAGTTGCTATGACAGCTGTGAAGTGTACATACTGTGTTATTCTTTCTGTCCACTACTACACTGACACTACTCTCACTTTCTCTCTGTCTAACTATGTTTACATGTAGAATAATAATATTTTTATAATCAAAATGATAGCTCAAATACAACGAAAAGTACTAAAATGAAAACAGTTGAGTAAACTAATCTCTATCTGAAATGAAACATTTTAATGTAATGCATTGGAAGATGCATATTTGTAAGGTGCATATTTTAAACTATTTGTGACGCTGTAGAATAATTTGCATGTAAACCTTCAAGTTAAACTGTTTCCACCTGGCGTACATACATAGTGCAGTGTTTTTATAAATGTCAAAATTCAATTTATATATTTATATAAAGCAACACCTATTATTGCATTTTCTGCAGGGGCCGCGTTTTCTTTAATAAAGTCACATACCACAAAAAAAAAGGAATTCCATTTTATCCTATATTTCTCAAACTGTCAATTAAAGCAGGACATCTCTCTCCCACCAATCTTTGCTACATATGCTTTTCCATGTCTAGTTTTTGGAGGGAAAGAGAATTTTGAGACTTCACACTCTTCAAAGGTTATTCTTGTTTTTCTCGTGACTAACTTTTTAGTCAGCTCCATCATAAATGCTGCACTTCGCATGCACAGAAATTGTTTTAGGAATACATGTGATGCACATCTGTACATATAAACAGTATGTTTGCAATCTGCAATCAGATTTCATTTATTCACAAAATGTCCGCATGTAAACAATCACTGTCTGGTAAACATTAAGCTCATATTTGGAATGTAATACCAGCATACTGTAAACTGTTACTATAATCTAATGAATAAAATTGAATGATTATTACAAAAAAATGGAAAATGGAAATGAAAGAGTGCACTGTGCGATACAGTGTTTTATGCAGTGGTATCTATGTGCATACTGCATATTTTGGCAACTGTAGTGTTCTGTGCACATTTGCAGTCTAAATGCTGCATACTGCTTGACATTAAGTATTTGACCCCTGACTTTGATGGTCTGCATTGCTTTTGCATGTGTGAAAGTGTGTACATATGTTGTCTATAAGGCTAATCTCAGCCGTGTGCCGTCCATCCTAAGCACCTCCTTCCTGTCTCTGATGCACAGCAGTGTGTTATATAAACAGTGGAAAGCAGACACCTTATTGTGTAAGAGGACCATGTGTGAAAATATGGAGCACACATTCAAAGAGGGTTTCAAAAAACCATCAGGGCAGAGTGTTAAAGATGTGTTTTGGCAAAGATTGCATGGAAGGTTTCATTTTGGAAAGGCCTGGTGTGACACTCTTTTTCCTTTCCTCTCATAATCTGTAGTTTTGCCCTTAAATTTTATTACTTCAGACTTTCTCGTTGTAAAATGGGATGTGCATATCAATACAGCTTTGAGTTTTATGGGCCTGTCTACATCAACAGTGAGATCTTTGTCTCATGAAATGTCAAGGGGAAAAAACACTCCACAAGTTAACAAAAGGGGTTTGTATTGAACATTGGGGTGGCTCAGATAGCAAAAACCTGACAATTTCTCTTCGTAATACAATTGTTAAAAAGTTCCATTACTAATTCAGAAGATTCAGTGTCAAAGTGATATGGAACTGGGGTTATTAAACCTGGAACTACTACATACCTGTTTAGTTATTGAATGAACCAATCATAATCAGGAATTTAACAATGCTGTTGTAGAAAATATGTTGACAGCTTTATTTTGTTGATTTCTTAGGTTGCAGAGGGATCTGAAGTGCACTTTGAGGCAAGAAATTTTTCTGAGTCGTGTGAGGTGAAGGTGGAAAATCTTCCTCATGGCAATGAGCACCTGCTTTCTTGGGCCCATCAACGCTACCATGCAGTTACCTCTTTCAGCGAGCTCAAGATGGCCCATGACGTCTACATCAAGGTTGGAGAGGGTATGTATATCTGAGCACACACAATGTTTTATAATTCCTTTTTTAAGGTACCTGTTGCTCAAAACTCTTTATTATTATTATTAATATTCTTTTGAGTGCATAACACATTTTCAAATCAGTATTTTGGTCTTTTTTGTTAAAAAAAATAAACTTGCTTAAATGCATTTACTTGAAGCTAAATATAATACGACTTTACAGTGACTATATCTTGTATTGTTTTTTTTTTCTTATCCCACCAAATTTCTTATATTTATTTAAAATAAACAAATAAATAAGAAGAGAAATAAATGTAATTCAAAATGTAAAAATAAACTTCATTAAATTTTTTTTTCAGAACATTAGGGTTATGCATTATTTTATTTTGTTATAATTAGGGGTGCTCCGATTGATCGGCTACCTATCACTATCGGCCGATAATCACGTTGGGATGTTTGATCGGTGGTCTCTAAAAAGGCCATTCTCAAAAAAACGATCTCAAACTGATGACACTGCTGTGAAAGGTTTGGCACGACATGCAGCGGCACCGTCTCAGTCTCAGTGTCCGGCGCGGGTGAAATAATTATAATTTCACATTTCTTCATTAAATAACTTATAAATTAATTTGAAAACCTTGTGTGAGACGTAATTTCACAAACAGCATGAGTGAATCACCTCGCGCACGCGCTCTCTCTCAAAATAGAGAATTAGAGGTCTGCATTCCCGAATAAAACACGGTAGCGGTCGGTAACTCTGGTGTAATTTGAACGGGAGCGGGAGGTCTAACAATATCCCGTTCCCGACGTCCATTCAGAACAGCATATCTGCGCTTTATTCTTATTGACCACCGGTACAGCCTTCACTCGGAGTCCTTGAAGGACGTTCAACTCGGTTTTGTTTATATTTTGCTTAGCCTCTAATTTTAAATGACAGATGTCGTATTTATTTATTACAATACAAATTTAGTATTTTGACAAGACGAAAAAAAAAAAAGCTAATAAGCTATTTTTGTACAACCGACATTCTTTTTTTTCTCTCTGCGACACTTTTTTGCTATTGTGTTGTAAATGTTAAACAAATTGTATCCTGACAAGACGAATAAAAATAAGAAATAGCCTACAATTTTTGTAGCCTACAATATTTTTATTTTCTCTGACACTTTTTTCCTACTGTGTTGCATAAAATATTAAACGAATTTAAATTATTAATATAATTTATATAAATTCAAGTCAAAGTCAATAAATTCAAGACTCTTGACAAGACGAATAAAATAACATAGCTACAATTTTGTGCAGACTACACTTTTGTTTGTCAGTCTATCTCTCTTTCTTTCAGTAGCGGAAATTTAAATGTGAGATTCTGGAAACGAGATCTAAATTTAGCGGGAACGGTCGGGTCTAGTTATGATTTTATATATAATGATAATATCATATAAAATACTAAATTTTTATATATAAAATATTTATTTGTTCTTTAATAAATGTTTTTTTGTGCCAAAGACAGTTTTCCACTTGGTAAACAATAACATTTCTAAAGTAATGAGTATATTTATCTTGCTTTAAAAATCAAACTGATTCTTCAAAATCAAATACTGATCAAGAAAATGATTTGTGTTTCACTGTAAGCCACATTTTAAGCAGCCTTTGAACTTCAGTCAGTGGTGCCTATTGACTGTGTTTAGTAACCAGACCCATGGGTAATCAAACAAATCCCAACGAAGCCACCTCAAGTCAATCTGATTTCCACTGGGCAACATTCAGTTTCATTTAAAAACAACATGGCAAAATCTGTGGGCTTTTTAAATGGCAGACTTTCTCTCTGCCTCTCATTTGTAATCAGCTAATTTGCTTGCGTGTCACTCCCTTCTTTTCTGTCAGACTCATAAGCAACCTAGTGATGGAGAATTGATGGAAAGGCCAAGTAAACTCTGACTGCCAGCTTGTGCGTATGGGCCCTTCGCCAAACCTGAAGCCTTTCACAACAGTCCTTTTAAAAAGAGAAGGATGAGGAAGAATAGCAGACTGAGAGGGAAAAAAAATGCGCAAAGGGAAAGTTTGGCAGGGAAGGTATAGAAAAGGCACAAAAGAAAATAGAGCCCAAAACCAGAAAGTCCAAATTTATAGCAGTACCAGGAAGCCCTGCGAGATGGCAAAGTATCTTAGCCATCTGCTCGTTGACATGAGCCGTAGGCGGGAAATTAGCTTATTCTCAAAGGAAACGGGTTGGGGGGGATTTAACTTGAAACCGACTGTTGGACTTTGATATGATGTTTGAGTCAGACATGGCTGCCACATTCAAATAGATTTTGTTGTTTACTTGTTGAGGGCATGAAAGAGAGAAAGTAGAAACAGATACTTGCAAATATGCACCATTAGCACAGCGAGCCGCAGGAATTGTTTGAAGAAAGTAAAAAAGGACAGATCCGGCTGTGTGATTCACCCAGGGCTCCATCGTGTTTCCCCTGCTGAGTTCTAAGAACAAACCAGCAACACTTCTGACTTCAGCATCTCTCAGCTGTCAAGTTGCCTAGTTAAACTGCTGGTGCTCATTTTTCAGTCCGTAAAAGAACATAAGATTCAAGTACTAGAAGAAAGTAATGACTGCATCATTCAAAGTACACAAGGTCCAGTCTCTGAGCCTGTTTCGGTCGGCCCTGTAAAACATTTGGCCCGGTGTAATTTTGAGTTTGTGGTTTGGCAGCGATTCAAAAGGCTGTTTACCTCTTCAGGACAGTTCTGGCCTTCTACTCTATCTCAACCCTTTGTAGCTCGGCATGAGAGCGGACATGCTTCCGATCTGTTTGCTGCAGAGAACAGGCAACTCTCTTTCCCCCAGTACCTCAAAGAGCCAGAAAGAGCCGAGAGTAAGAGATGCCAGCCTTTCATGATGAGTTCACACTCATCACCCTTGTGCTTTGTCCAAAAGCGTAATGGCCAAATAAGGAAGCATCTGTCTTCTGTTTCTCTGGGGCAAAGAGAAGAGCCATCATCTCTTTTGTGGAGGAGCAAAGAAAACAGTGTTCAAGAGCAGAGAGGATTTGTTTTGTTTTTCAGGGAATAGTTAAACATTTTCTGCAGCAGGACAGGTCAGGCAGAGTACTGTGCTTTGATTGATTAATAAGCATTTATAAGGGATTCATCTGCCAATATTTGGCCATTTTCGTGAATATCGTCATCATCTTTTTTATTAAATGTTGAAAAAATTATTTTATTATTTTTATTATTACCATTATTCATTTTAGCATATTTATGTACAATCAATTAATGACCTTGACCTTGACCAAAAGTTTTGAATCAGAAAGATCTGTATTTATTTATTTAATTTATTATTATAATTTTTCTTTTTTGTATTTGTTTGTTTGTTTGAAAGAAATTAATACTTTATTCAGCAAGGATGCATTAAATTGATTAAAAGTGACCGTAAGGACTTATTATTATGTTTCTTGAAATATAAAAAAAAAAAATGTAAATGTATTTTCTACTTTAAATAAATGCAGTTTATTTGGAATTTCTTGAATCCTTCTTTCTTGAATAATAAACAGCAGAACTGTTTTCAACTTTGAACACTGAGCAAAATATTTTCAAATTAAATATAATAATATATTTAAAAATAATAAATTAATAATAAAATAGAAAACAATTTAAATTGTAATAATATTTGAAAAAAATATATATATTTTTATCATTAAAAATTTTTTTTTTGAACAGTATATTTTGACATGATATCAGCATTTGGCCAACCAGCTTTTAAGATATGAACATCACCAGTGGCCACTGAAAATAGATTGACCACTATGAAAAAACCCACAAACTTCACTCCGCTTCTATTCCTGCTCTTGTACTGTGTTCTGGTAATGTGTGATACAAACCAAGCCAAGTGATACAAACAGTGAAATATTCCAGTGCTGTTATACTAAATATAAGATTATAGGACTGTGACGAACTGTTGGTAATGTGGTGTACTGTATAGTATGTGCCAATCAAACATTTTGTGTCCTCAAAATTTCTAGCCCTTAACCTGAACATATCTCAAATTTGTTTCAGACCCCGTCTTTTCCGAGACCTGTAAGATTGATAACAAGTTCCTGTCTCTGAACTACCTGGCAAGCTACATCCAGCCCCAGCCATCCACAGGGTGTGTTCTCTCAGGTCCTGATCATGACCAGGAGGTCCACATCATTGAGCTCCAGGCACCAAACTCCAGCAGGTGAGGAGAAGACTGTTGAACTACATTCCTTTTTGTTCTTTTGTATTACAAAAATATCTGCTGTGGAAAGACACCTGAGAGCCTTTCCAGACATCCATTTCTCATAAAAGAAGTTCATACTATGTATAAATGTGTTTCTATGTTTAGTATACCATGGTGTGCATGTGGGCGCGCCGCTCATGGATGGGTGGGTGTGTAAATGTGCGTGCATGTCGCTTTGTATTTGTCATTTTAGGTTGTCATTGTGTTTCTGCTGGTTCTGTAAAGTTTATTTGGAAATAGGCAGGAACTAGGGTATTGTTGATTTTGGAAAACTCTGCTGGGTAAAACGCTCTCCGCCTCCACCAGTATCACTCACTATTGCCTAATAGTGACTCAAAAAATTAAAAACAGATCTAAAGATATGCAAGCATCATGATGAATCCCAGCATTGCATTATGTGGTCTGTTTAACATGTGTCCAGCTTTGTTTTCTAGGAAGAGGTGCAGTTTTTTAATCAGTTGGCTAGACAAAAAACATGTTAAAACTGAAGTTGAATTTTTCCAAGATTCTTATGGTCTTCCTTCCATTAACCCCCACCCACCTCTCTCTCTCTCTCTGAGTAGTGCATTCCAGGTGGATGTGATTGTGGATTTAAGGCCGCTGGATGGTGGCGCCCCGCTACATCGTGATGTTGTGTTGCTTCTGAAATGTGAGAAGTCAGTGAATTGGGTAATCAAAGCCCACAGCGTCATCGGCAAACTGGACATTGTGGTATGATTTCTAAATTATTGTCTACATGCAAAATATATAATGTACCTGCAAAGACAGCAAATCCCTCATGACTATTTTTTCTATTGTTGCTTTACATACTAATTTATAATGTTTAAAGGGGTCATGAACTGAGACATCAAAATTCCCTCGATCTTTTGATATAAATGGCCATTGTACTATAAAAATATCCTGTAAGTTTCAGAACTCAAAACTTTCTCGTTAGTCTAAAAACAGCTTATATTGAAGTTAATCTGCCAAAACGACATCTTGTGGAATGTGCCACTTTATGATGTAATAGTGTGGCTAAATCCCGCCTCCGCAGAAGAAGATCAATGCCTGCTTCTACATCACTGCCTGTTTATTATAATTAAACCGCCCAACGATTCACACACGTAGTGGGTAAATAATGAGAGAGGCAAACTCAGGTCTATGCAGAATCAAATGATAAAGACGGCTCCAAAGACAACAAGATGCTGTACAGTGCCAAGTTGTGGAAAAACACAGTTAACCTGCAGTTACAGATGAATAAATAATGTTTTTTTTTTTACATAAAACGTTGAATACTGTTATTTGAAATGATTTTAAAACATAAAAAACTGTCTAAATGTGAAATTAAAACCGCCAGTAGGTGACAGCAAGTGACTGTTAATGAGTGAGTCATTGAGATTCAACCG